TCATTTTATAAACTTCAGCTATGACCTAGAATGATCCAAAAATGTATCTAAGTGAGGAACATATGGCTAGCTGTAAAAAATGTATCAAAGAGCATCTCTTGTCTTTCTTTCTCATGAATGATCCCTTCAACAATACCCTCAGGTGACCCCAGTCTGTTGGTTGGCACTCACATGCAAGTGAATCAGCATGCTATTAGCAATTACTTTAGTGATATTTACAGCATTTTAATGTCACTTGTCTATATGTAAATAGAATCTGTGAGGAACGCAGCACCCAGGGCTCCTTCTCCCACTAAAACAGAACTGTTCCTTGAACACGCCAGAATGCTTCCTACACCTTATATAACGGCCAAAAATATCACCTAAATTGCTCTATGACAAAATAATGAGTCTGTCAAAGATGGGTGGTCAGAAAAACAAATTTGTTCTCCTACACAATTAGGGTTTATAGCATTGGACAGCCATATAAATCTCCAGCAATTCAGAATTGGATTTGCACATTGGAGGGAAATATGTTGTGTGTGCTGTAAGCAGGCTGCCAAGCAGGAAATGTCCCTGCAGGTTGAACTGAAAGATGCGAAACCCCTGACCTCAGAAACACTGGGAGAGAAATTTCCAAATGGAGGCAAATGTAGTGCAGACTTGGTGTTCAAATTCACAAGCTCATCAATAAGCAATATCATGCATTCAAAGCCAGGCTGGATGTGGCTCTAGGCAGCCTGGTCTAGTGGTTGGCGATCCTGCACATAGCAGGGGGTTGGAACCAGATGATCACTGTGGTCCTTTTCAACCCAGGCCATTCTATGACTCTATGATTATTTGTAATGAGTATGTATTGTATCTCACAGTAACACTTTGCCTTTTTGTATTTTTTTCCCCCTATACAGTTTGCCAGTGTGGTGCAAAGGCTGCTACATGCATCCTCTTACATTTGCCACACCTTAACCTGTATTCTCAAAGCTACTCTACTCAAAATAGCTCCCTCAATCATCCTTTACCAGAACACATTCAAGCATCTGCTACCCACCCACTAATACCCAGTCATTACATTTCTGGGTATGTGTACATCATACCTTTTGAAGCACTTAACTTTTTTTCTGGATTTCAAGAAACTACGTAGGCATAAAATGCTGTCATCTGGCACTTGTTCAGTACACATAGTATGGATGCAGAGTTTTAGGTTTTCATAACTTATCCATTCCTATACACGTAGGCAACTCTTCCAACAGAAGCAACTGCAAGGGTTATATGAAATTTTGGGTTTAATATGCTTTGCATTCAAAACTAATTAAGTCTTTTGTTACTACTTAAATTCAAAGCAGTAACAAGTAAGAACTGCCTTTCAAAGAAAGCGTTTAAAAAAATAGCAAGTAATACCTAGAATTTTCAGTAGTAATTTATTAACATAGTTGTTACCTTGCCATATAAGGTAATAAAATATTTCCTTGCCTCTGAAGTGAAAAAAGAAAAGTAAGCTGCTTCTTTGGAAGAAAAAAAAAAAAAAAGAAAAAAAGAGGAGGATATAGATGAGGGTCTCTGAACTTGGGTAATGTGTCTTCCACAGCCATTGATGTCCTCATCCCTTCCTACGATCTGGTGGGAGCCCAGTTTTCCTGCCAGATCAGTGGTACTGTTCTGATTCAGTTACCTGAAATAGCTGAACTCCAGGATCTGCTTTGTTGTGGACTTACAACCCAATATGTCTCATCATAAGGGTCTTCTTCCTCACAGTCTATCTGGATGTTACTTTTACATAAATGATCTCTTCTCAGTAACTTAAAACTTTCTATTTCCCTTACTGCCTATCCCTCAAATAAAAGCAGGGGTTTTTTTATTATACTCTACTCATCTCCCTGCCCCTCTATGTATATTTACCACTTTCATCCACCCTGGAAGTCTGTCCCTCAGGCACAACGGGCATTTCTCTCCTTCTGCACAGCAGCTCCCTGTGATTTGTCCATACACACCTCTGATGAGGTCCCTGGGACAGATAGCCCAATTCCTAGTACAGCCTTCCCAAAAATAAATAAGTAAATAGACATATATAACATCTCTCCATATACAGCACATAATTTGATATTAGCATGTTATTCCCATAATACGTTCCAAAAGTACACACTGTTTGCTTTCCACAGTTGTTATTGGTCTTTTTCAGTTTTAGCGCTGCCTGCACTTGACCCTCATTCAGAATTCAGCTGAACGTGCTATAGAAGTTCATGATTAATCATAGGTTTTTTAGGATTCTGTAACACTGTCAGCACTTCTAGTGCTCATCTCTTGATGTTAGATTTTGACTATCTGTTCTCCGCTTACAACAGTTTCCTATCAGTCCTTTATTTTTTCAATAATTAATTTACTCTGTTTTATTTCATTCACTTTAAATCATGCTCTTGTAAAGTAATACCTTCATTGTCACTGTTGTTTATGTTTTGTTTTGTTTTTGTGGTGGTGATGGATTTTTTTTTTGGTATTTTTTTTGTTTTTGGTGGGAGAGAGGAGTAGACAGTTTGCATTCCTTTCTCTTATAATTCCATTCATTGGAATTTTCTTTGAAGGCAGAATACAGCTTCCTGGGTGATCCAGCTAGGAAAGCTTTCACACATATAAACACATACAAATAAATAAATTTGCAGAGAGGCATTAATTGAATGAATTGTTCTACAAATTTAAGACAGGAAGAGCCATTTAGCAAGTTTAGCAAGGTAAGTGGCTAAGATGACAATACTGTTTGGCTTTTTTATACGTATTCTGAATGCCTATAACAAGGGCTGATTTTTTAATTTTTTTTTTTAATTCTCACTTAAGCTGGTTTTTAAAGTTCAGAGTTCCCACCTGTTTCCACGAGCTTGTCTGAGAAATAAGGAATACGAAGGCAGAAGGGAGAAGGCAGCTTACAAAGACATTAGGGAATGTGGAACATGAAAGGAAATCAGCAGGCATGAGAATTTGTAGGAACTGTTTGCATATGAATATATACACCCATATCTACATACCAACAAAACATATGCATAAAGAGAGTTGGAACAGGACTGGATAGAAGCAGAGAGAGAGATGGAGGAGACCAGAGTCTACTCAAGACTTACAGTTATGCAAGCAAAATTGAAGATGGGCCAGACCAGCTCCTTAGGAACAAAGTAGAATTACAGCATCTGTTATATACAGACTTTTTCTTACAAGATTTTCTGACACAACCACTGTTTGCTTTCTGGTGCTTGTAGAAGAGCCATGTACACTGGCACCAATCTACACTTGTTTTCTCCTTATCAGCACTCAGCAGTCTTCAGATCCATAAGAATTACCACTTGTCTCAGTATCAGCTGACTTTTTCTTCTGCCTAGATCAGTTTGCTGTTTCTAACACTGATGAATTCCTACAATAAAGCAGAAATCTCCTCCTGAAGAAAAGCCAATCAGTTCCTGTCTTTAGTGCTACACAGTCTCTCCTACTTTTTTCTCCCTTGACCCCTTCCTGTGCATGCTGTCATTGTGTATCTCCCATTTTCATAGTCCAGTGGGCAGTAAAACAACTCATCACTTTTCTTAATAGCAGTTCTATTTACCAAAACTTGAGCTCTGCATGACTGGCCACATCTCATCCACTGACATCCAGACAGGTATCTTTCACTCTGCAGTGTCCAGTCTTTGAAAATTTACCTTACAATTGGTATAGTCTTTAAGCATCAATATTCCAGAAATTATATAAAAATGAAGTTCACCTTCTTTTGTCTGGCATGTTCGATATATTTTGCTAATTTCTATTTAAACAGTACCAGTCCTGCTTTTCTTTAGAGTAAGTGTTGCTTAAATAGCAACAATTTCATCTGCCTCATTTCTATCACCAAAAAGGATGCTACACCATCTTCTGCATTATAAATTCTTGTGGATTCTCTCCAGCAGCCACTTATGACAACTGCAAGTTTTTTTACCCTGGGGATATATATGTATGTGGCCAGTTGCTTCAGGTCATATTCCTTCCAAATGGAAGTCAGCTTGACAGCTGTTAATTTGCGGTTGGTCATTCCATGTGCTGTTTTGCTCTAATTATTGGCCAGTGTATGGAACAGGTGACAAATACTCACAGGACAACCCTTTAAATCTCTAGACATACAATTGTTATGAAAACAAACAACTAGAGTCATTAAATACTAGTTTTCTCTCCAGCTCCAAACAGAAACAGATTTTAGCCATTTCCAACATTTTGGGGAAAGAGATGGAAAAAAAGTAAAAATATTTTACTGTTTATGAAATTACTTTTCCCATTCTGTAAGAATCCTAGTTTCAGGCAGAGAGAGGAATTAAGGGAAATACAATTGTTCAGGTAGCAGATGCTGAATCTGATTTATGTGATGATTTTTGTTCTCAAAGTTTGTTTAGGTGCTATTTCCTAAATTAAACTCAGGAAACAATATTTCCTGTGACCTTCAGCTACTATAATTATATTAAATTAAAGCAGGGAAAAAAAATTGCTTACTGAGCAAGATAGCACTTGCTGGACAAGAATGGCAAAACATCACTGAACTGAACTTACATTTTTCAAGGTTCCTTTCTCCCAAAGTAGGCTGTTGTAGAGGATATTTAAGTGAAATCTGCTTTCTCAGATGTCCATGGCCTATTCAGATCTTAATTTGGGACAGACTCTCTAAGGATACAAACTCTTTGTGTAGCAAGCAACTCTTGAATTTTTGCAAGATTGTAGACCTAGCTGTATGAAAATTACAATTAATTTAGTTGATTAGTGGAGTTATGTTAGTGGAAATGAGAAAAGATTCAGCACCTTGGACCTTGGTGAAATTAGCACTGTTTATCTTATTAGATCTGTGTGAGTTGATGATAATATAACGTGCTCTTTGAGCAATATCTTGTGATACTTGCTAAAACACAGTCACAACACATTGAGAAAGAAAATTTCCATAGGGTGTTCTTTACAAAAAAAATATAAGCCAAAAATAAACACAGTTTAAATAATATCCTACTTCTTTTATTTTTGCTTTTTAAAAATAGGTGTAAGTGCAACCTTCACGCTACTGGCTGTAAAGAAGAAAACAAAAGACTACTTTGTGAATGTGAGCATAACACAACTGGCCCAGACTGTGGAAAATGCAAGAAGAATTACCAGGGCCGACCATGGAGCCCTGGTTCTTATCTGCCTATACCTAAGGGCACTGCTAATATCTGTAAGTAATTCTGCAAAATAAGATTATTTCATTATTAGAATTCTGCCCATATCACAACTATGAAGGAGGATTAATTCTGGGAAAAGTTTGTCCTTTTTTATGATTGAGTGCCCGTAATTTAACATGGCTTAAAGCACATTAATTGTAGGTATGCATCATGTCATTATCTGTATTCTACATGCTTGTAAATATTTTGCATGAGAACTGCATAGAATCATAGAATGGCCTGGGCTGAGAAGGACCTCAAGGATCATCCTGTTTCAACCCCCCTGCCATGGGCAGGGTCACCAACCACTAAACCAGTCTGCCCACAGCCACATGCAGCCTGGCCTTGAATGCATTCAGAGATGGGGCATCCACAACCTCCTTGGGCAACCTGTTCCAGTGCGTCACCACTCTCTGAGTGAAAAACTTCCTCTTAATATCTAACTTAAACCTTCCCTGTCTTAGTTTAAAACCATTTCCCTTTGTCCTATCACTGTCAACCCATGTAAATAGTTGTTATGCTTGTATCCATGGACATATTCTTTGCTATTGCACAGAAAAGATTAAGGAACCAAAAAAGAATAGCACCCTTCACATGAAAAAGCACATTAAGGGGAGGGAAACCAGTGGGAATGTCTGCAGCAGTGCTTCAGCTAAGGCTCTCTCAGCTTTCCACTCATACATTTTTATTGCCTCTGGACTCAAAACAACCGCAGCACAACTTGTCAGATGAGATCATTACTGATTTTTCATCCATTCAAGAAAATTTTAAAAAGTCTTTCTATTAACTGTATCTGAAGGCTGATAAATGAATTTTGTATCTGATGTGGACCTGTAATCCAGACTCACGTTCAATCTTGCTGATCTCTGAGAGGAAAAGTGAGAGCAAAAACTACATTTTTATCTCTGCCTGTTTCAAACTAATACACGTTCAACAACTTGCATACTCACTATTTCACATATACCATTCCAAAACTTATGAATATCATCCAAAGGAAGTTGCTTGCAGCAACTCTTCCTGGTCCTGGTCAGGATTAGGTCAAACAGAACATGGTGCTGAAAGAGAGGTTGCACAGCATCATTTCTTTTTTTCATGCATGTATGAAATACACAATGATTCAAATTCCTTCTGAGTAACAGACTTACATTCCTTTGAAGAAAGGATTAAAGAAGATGAGAATAAATCACCAAACCTTTTGACAGAACTTATAGCTTCTTTGAAGAAAAAAGTCCAGAGTTTTACTCTGATTAAAAGCAAAACATTTATTTCTAGAATATTAGAATATAACAATTTACTGAAAAGTTATGTAAGAGAAACAAAGCTATGTAATTCGTTGAATAGAAGTTTAAAATCAGGAGAAATGTGCAGTGCTTGGAATGTTATCTAAGACTTCAAAGCAGCAGCTGTGAGGAATCAAGACTCAAAAATGAGTATCACAGGAAGCAGGACCTTATCAAGTTAAATGTGAGAGTAATAGCCCAAGTAACAAACCGTGAAGTGTGGGGGTATGAAATTATGATAAAATTCCTATTGAGCAGAAAAAAGGAACCTTCAAAAAGCAAGTGAAAAACATTTTGTAAGAGAATTCACTTTTTCCAAGTTATAAAAAGGGAGCATTGCTCTCAGAATTAGAACTTTAAAGTTTTGTTTGGAGAAAAACGGTGAGATTTACCAGCTTGATGTTATTTATGTATGTATTTGTATACGTGCATAGGCACATATACATACCATATGCATATATGGAACCATACATATATATATATATATATATATATGTATATATATATATATATGTATATGTATATATATATACACATGCATATATGATTACCCCAGTAATCATCTGCACTAGGGCAAAATACATCTGAAATTGAAAATGAGGATCTTACCACATGCAGTTTGTTATGTTACTGACATCATTTAAAATGAATTGAACATATACCAACAGAAACAGTGGAACTAGCACACAGTGAAAGGTTGCTGATGCTTGATGAGACAACTTGAGTCACTGTGAGACACTGAGTTGCATCAGATATGTTATTCCATCAAAATCAAAAACTGTTGCAAATAAAAGAAAGAATTTTCTATTTATTAGTAGTAGTAGTAGCAGTACTAAAGCACTGTGAAAATGTAACCTTATTTGGGCTGACCAGTGTTTCATCAAACCTCAAATCCTGACTTCAGCAGTGCTCACCAGAAGCAGTTTATAGAAAACTGAATGACGTAGGTGAACGTAGAAGGATTTTGTGTTGGCCTTTCCAGTCTTGAGCAATAAAGAGGCTTTCTGCACTGGAGTCTCCTACAGTGGTTCTAGATTCAGAAGAGAGAGACACAGCTGCCATAAATTCCTTCTCAGTGGCTTCTTACAGCAACACACTTTGCATTTTAAAGACATAATGAATGAAAATAATTTCCTTTTGTATGCTTTTTGTGTTTTTATTTGTCTTTACCCCCTTAGGAAAAAATGGAATAACGCAGCCGTATTTATTTGTTATCCCATTTATTATTTCATAGACTTGGCGCGTCCACTTCTCCAATCTGTTTCCCAAATAAAGAATCCTAATCTATTTAATCTTGTCGTATATAAAAGCAATGCCAAATCATTTACATGTGCCATTCCTGCTCTCTTCTGGCTCTGTGGTGACATTTTTTTGATTTTGTGAGGCTTAAACTTCACATCATATTCTAGACATGAGCATAACATGGATCTTTTACAGTGGCATAAAAACGCGTCTGCTTTGTATTTTATTATTACATGGATCAGCCCTTAAGTCCTTTTTAAGAAGAACTGGTGTCACACTTGACAACATTTCTTCTGGCATCAAGGCTGACATAAGTGACAGGTTATATGTTACAGTTATTCGTTCAGAAATGTCATATTTGAGTTCCTTTAAAACACTTTTCCAGTGAATACAACCATATGGCAATTCTTATTGCTTGATATTACTTTTATCTTCTAAAACAACTTCTGGTCATGGCAGACTTTTATAAATTCCTCAGTTTGTGAGAATCTCTATAACCTTTGTTGTGAGTATCAGTGCAAACAATTAATTTAGTATTTAGTATTTAGCATTCTCTATCTACCCAATCATCTCTTTGTGAAGCCTTCTGCTTATGGTGTGTTTATTTAAAAAGGAAAATAAATATGCATTAAATTTAAGTCTGTAGCAAGTTGATTCTCCAAGTACTGTCATTTATATTTAGCTTGACAGATTTTTATGCTTTTTTCCAATGTTTCTCTATTAATCTAACTTACACTTGTGAAGAGAATCTTTCTAAAGACTTCTTTATTTTGCCATTTGGGTAGGATTGTTATGTTTTTAGTGAAGTTCACTTTTAGAATTTACTTTCTTTTGATTGGTTGTATGCAATTATTCTTAGTCTCTCAGATTTTTACATCTCTCTGTTGTCTGCATTATATTTGTTCAGTTGGTTTTTTTTTTTGGTTTCTTTTTTACTAGATTCCTCATTTTTATCTGCTCTCTCTGAAAGTTTCTGCAGTGGATTTTTTTCTCCTTATTCCTCTCAACAAGTATGTTGGCTTTCATTCCAGAAGTGGTTCTCTGATAACTGCTTCTTGAATCAGGTCCTATGCACTACTAAGATCTAAATAAGCTTCTTTTCTTGTGCGTTTTCTGATTACTTGCTACAAGCAGCAATTATTCATGGTATGTAAAAGCTTCATTTCATTGTCACTTCCTGATTTAATCCAGCATGAGTTTTAGCATATGAATTTTTGCATTATTCTGTAGTCTTTCTGCAGGACCAGAGTAATTTCATTTGCACTGTTGAGTTTGTTTCACCATCTCCATCAGGTGATCAGTAAATGTAGCTCTAGGGCCATAGTCTTCTTAGATAACCATACATTCTGTGAACATTTTTGGGGAACATATTGGTAGAATTAACTTACTAGCTTGGCTTTACACCTTCCTTGATATGGTAATTATATTCCCCAGGGGTACAATAATTAGTCCTTCATTACAGCAGTGTCCTTTGATTCTTCTCCTCCTTCCAATTTTCAGATTCTACCTTCTTCATCTAAGACAAAATATTTTTCATTTAGAATGGATTTGAAGCACTTTTGTTTTGTATGAGTGCTTAAATAAGATGCAGTATTGTAATTAATGTAATTCTATAAATGATTTTTTTTTTTTCCCCACAAAATAAAGATTTCTCCAGACATTCTCTGATACCGGGGAATTTGCTTAGATTCAACAAGAAGCCTGAGGACTGTTTCAAAATCTTTCCAAACAGGAATTGATGTAGTTTTCACTGTCCTGATTCTGCCATTTTGGTAGCCAGTGAGGCTTGTTCATACCTATTCAAGTTACAGCTCATGAAATACAAGAGCATTCTAGGCTATATCCCACTCATAATCTAACCCTTGATATAAAGCTGATATCTGTATCCTTTTCATTTTTATTGAAAGTAATTTTTTTTTTTTTTAGGAGAATGCATAGCATTTTTGCCTGCTTTTGTGAAAAACATCAAATTCTTCACTGTATACTGGTACTACTGCATAGCATTTATTTTATATTTTCACTCTATCTTATTGACTATTTTGTGATTACATTTATTCCCTTGTGCTGCCACATTCTACAAATAGTTTGTACTGCAATATGTTTTGGCACTCAAAGTGAACTTATTGAATTTCTCAGTACTTGGTATTACAAGATAGCTTTTCTCTCAGCAGTCATACGTGTCTGACAGCACAAGCCCTTTTCTTCCTTCTGTTGTTTAGATCATCTCTGGCACTTATGTTCTTTGCTCTATCAAACAGAGCTGTCCGAGTCTGTGCTGGGCTCCCATCCATCAAAGTCTGCTTGCTTTTTTGTCAGTCCTCCACAGCCAATAACCTGTACCAGAAATGCTTGACACTCAGCTAAAAAATGCCTCCCAGCTTCTACCCGACTTTGCTAATTCATAGTTCGACATGAAACAAAGCATTGATCAGGACACAAAGAACACTGGTGGATTTTTCAGTGGTGGATTTTTTCAGTGAGAAGTTAGGCAGATAGTCTCAATCAGTTAACAGAATTTCTTCTGCAGCAAGTTCCCCTCTGACAGGATAGCCTCTGTCTCAGCAGCACAGCGCTAATCCTCCCTGAGCAGGAAAAGACTTATGAGGCATCACTGCAGCACAGCTGCCACAGAAACAGTCCTGGCAAAAAGTAATGGTACTTAAAGTATTGTGCTGATTACTCTCATCTGTGTTCATATTTTTCTCCGTGAATATTTGATGGCACAAAGCCATCTTGAAGGACCAGCATAAGTGATGTTGGAGGTTGTTGTATGATGGCAGGCTTGTTATTGAGGAATCTATGTAGCAGGATTCCCTATGCCTGAAAAGATCATGCAGTCAACAGTCTTTTCAAGGCAGGCTCACACTGTAGATACAGTCTCATTTTCTAAGGGTCCTGTTCTCTGAACCAACAGGCAGGAGCTTTCCAGTGCCTACTTTCATGAATTAAGTAAAGGATGTTGTCCTCACATGATCTCAGTGCAGAGGAATGGGGCATGCTTAAGAAGTAAAACATTGCTTCTTGACAATTCTGATAATCTTTTCAATCTTTACGGAGTGAGCAATTGCAAACTTAACAGTAGCAGAAGTTCTAAGGCTCTCACAACAAAACACATGCAAAACTTCTTAAGAATTATGTCTTTCACAGTGTGTGGTCCTTTGCCTAAACACAATTTGACAGAGCATAAAAAGTTTACTTCTGTGATCATAATAATCACTCCTTTTGATGAAGGGATTACAAGATGCTAGGTTCCTCCAGCTTCTCAGAACTTTAAGTTACTATAGAATTCAGAACTTCTAAAATTGATACTGATGATCTGATATTGTGATCATGCCTCACTGGAGAATTTAGAAAGGGAAAAAATATCTGTGAGGAGTGCTGTCATGCTGCATCACATATATCCCAGGAAAGCAGATCAGACACTGCAGCCCTGCTCTGACTCTTTGCTGTGGAATTCAACTCTATATTTTGCACCTCTTTAAGAATCAGTGTTGTGTAGAGTGCAATTATAAGGAAATATCTTTTGTCAAAAAAACTCTCACACAACTTCCATCAGCAATTAAGGAGTCCAAAATAGCGTTGCATTATCTATTCTTGTATCTTCTCATACCTTCATAACAGGCAGTCTAAATTCTCAGTCCCTAGGCTGCATTCACCTCACCTGGATAATTCTGGGTGACTCTGTCTCCCCGAATACGTGAGCTGCAAGCAAGATGCAGTGCTCTGAAAGCAGCAGGAGCCCATCCCTGACTCCTCATCATATGGCAGGTGCACATCCAGCCTTGTGATGGCAAAGGCAGAGAAGCCCATGAGAAAGACAGTAGCCAAGATTGAGTTGCCAGAATAATTCCTCCATCACAAATGCTCTCCAAGCCCAGGAGGACACGCAGCCTGACTGTATTACCTGCTCTGCTGGCAGGAAGCATGCAAACACACTGATGGTCATGGCAGCTACAGCATATGGCCTGCTCTGAGACTGCAAACTGCAGCATTGCCCTTCTCACTGAAAGCTTGATGTCATTCCTTTCTGTTATGCATTCCATACTGACACAATCTGCACAAGAAATCGAAAACCTGCCTCTTTGCAAGCATCCAATTTCTGGAGTTTTTTTCTCCATTCACAGTAGTTAGCTACACAGTATCTAGTTGCTAAAACAACCCATTTCCTGATAATGGAAAACAAGAAGATTACAAGGCAGATGCAGAACACCATATGCAAGGAAAGCACTAGATTTTTTCTCTCTTGTAACGTGTGCATATTTAGAAGCACTTCAGTAAACATGCAGTATATCAAATCACCACCCTCAAGTCAAGTCAAAAATAGCAAATAGGATCAGAGACTTCTGCACTGTTCACCATTTTGGGGGCAGGAGCTACCCTGGCTCTTTCCTCAATACAAGACTCCCCATAAAAATGCATAAGCATCCCAATGATTCCAAGTGAAAGAACATTGCTTTGGTTTAACAACTCATTATGTGTAAATACAGTCACTTGATTTCTTTAATTTAGCAGAAGAGAGTTGTGCTTGGTTGATCTATCTTGCCACAAGGCTGATGGGCACCCACCATGCCAGGGGACAACAGCATCCCACCCAGCTCCCAACAGCTTCCTCTCCACCATGCCACAGCCCCCACATGGCATGCATGCACACCTCAGGGCTGCTGATGGGAGCAACTCCTGCACCTCATGCAGCTCTGCTGTGCCAGAACTGGCCTCAATATGCAAGTCCTAATCTTCCCAGAGCACCACTACTGAGAACATATTTCCCATTATATATGCACTTTAGTTTTTAAGGAGTGTTAATAGATCCTGTCTCACGGCCTTATGCAATCACCTCTTTTCTAGACAAACCCAGAAGTGCCATTCTCACTCTAGCAGAAAGGGCATAAAGTAGAACACAATCAACACAGTCACCACACATAGGGTAACTGGTATTACAAAAATCACACAAATATAGAAACTATGGAAAGAGTGAAAGAGCTTTTCAAATAGAATCTGAAGACAACTTTGCAAGTTTAATTTAGAGCCCTTAAAGGCAAGCAGGTTTTTTATTCTCATTATTCTCTGCCCAGGAAGCATTTATCACTATGAATTTGTGAAATAGAATAAAAAGAGGAGATCAGACTTGCAGGAAAGCCTCTCCCTTTCCTACAATCTGTTAAGGACAGAAAGGAAAGGATATTTGTGTGTGTGTGTAGGAGAGAAAAGAGGTTTGAGGTGGGGGAGTATACTGAAGGAAATACAAATACAGTTTCACAGTGGAAGTGTGAGTGTGAGAACACAGGATCTGTACTTTATCTAATACTCTTGCAGTTTCCATCAGTGTATAAAGGAAAATGAATTCTGCTAATTTAAAACATCTATAATAACTTGCAAGAAAAGGAAACAAACTTCCATTGAAACTTTGGGGGAAAAATGGAAAATTGATTGTTGGCTTTTTGACTTTTAAGGCATGTGGATAGAAGTTCTCTTACATTAACCTATATAATTTAAAAGTACATAGGGAACTAAGTTCTTTTTATAACTTTTAGAACAAAAAATATGTTCTATTATGACCATATTCTTATTTAGCTTTTAATACCTAACTGTGTGATTTAAGTATATACATACACATACATGTTTATCTCAGCAAAAATGAAGTTTGGAAATGATGCCTGAGAGTTTCATTCAGCAGGGGCTCCCCAAGTGCAGGGCCTGGCCTTCTGCAGGTCCCAGTTCCCACATCCGATGTGAAAGTAGGGCAGACTTTCTGGCATGTGCCCCAGCATTGCCATATTTCGTTCAGGTTATCATTCTGTACACCAAATTACTTCAGTTTTCTCCTTGCCAGGCTAGAATTTAGGAACGATTCCTAATTGACTCTACCACCATACTTACATTGAAAGTCATTTATCATGCAAACATTCCTTCACTCCAACTTGCTTCATTAGAGAATAGTCCATACGATCTCTGAGTAAGACAGAACTCTTCAAGATGGATTTTGAAAGTAGTACAGCAGATGTTTAATGGAGAAAAAGACTTTTGCAGTAAAGCACATTCTACTGAAGTCAATAAAACTTACAGAAAGAAAACTGTATTTAACTGAGAGGATGCAAATATTCAGAATTTAATTACTGATCTGCAGTTTAACACTGGAAACCAGCGATAGTACTATAATCGATACCATTTAATATAAAGAAAACGGCATTTCAGAAAAGATATTGTGTCCACAGTTTTGGACATGAAAAAAAAAAGCACCATTAAGGGCAGATATAACCACAAGCTACATTTCAGAACTACATCAGGCAACTGGAGATCCCACATTGCTAATGTAGCAGCTTTACTCCTCAGCAGCCCCACCTCTTCTGGTAAATCTCACCTGCCTCTGGAATGGTTTCCCTGCATTAGTTCAGCTCAGAAACTGAAATGAAAGCAGCAAAAGAAATCAATGAGAGGCTTAGTCAATATGGCAAGCCTAATGCATTAGATTGTTTTGCTCAATTAAATTTCTTTTCCTTAACTTAATTTGGGTAACCATCAGGTAAAGGATGAAAAAAATAGCTATGTGTAGTTAATGCAACAGAAGACATCAACTGATTTAAGCAGCTGGCCAAAGTAGTTAGCAATGCATCTATCCTTTGGTTCATTTTTTCCCTAGATCTACATAATACATGCATGAGTTATATTTTTATATAGAGCACTAAACCTAATGGCTGGCTAGTTCAAATACAAAACTGCTCTGAACAAATTCATGAAGTTCTGAGATCTGGTATGGGTCCCAGAAATACCCATCTGTCAATACATTTTAGTGGTCCCCACAGTCTCATACTGAAAAATCTAAAGACTCTGCATTTAGAAAGGGCGGGATAAATGCTAGCAATTGCTTGGAACTATTTATTGATACAATATTCTGAAAATGAGGAGATATATATATATATATACATTCAGAATCTTAGATGTAATAGTGCTGTCAACTACAGTAAACAGCTAACATCTTTTTATTGTTTTCTTTCTCTACAGGTATACCCAGTATTTCCAGTATTGGTAGTAAGTAAAAAGACAGTATTGTTTTGCATTTTCATTCAGCTTCTTGGATCTCGTTTCCCAACATCCCTCTCTGTTGTAGATGATGTTTATCCGAAATGTGCTCTACAGTGAAGGGGTTATGTACTGGCTTACAGTAACATGTAACCGCATTATATAGCCAGAGAGAATGTCAACATATCTGCCTTCAAGCACAGATTTTCTGATGCATTCTTATCGGCAGATGAAAGATGAATGCTGTAAAAATGAGCATTATGCAGAGAATTAAAACTTCCACAGAAAATATTTCTTGAGTATATTTTGTGAAAATGTTTACTAGTAACAGGGAAGTATAGGACAATTAATTTTCATGTGTTTGTGTATAAATTCAAAGAGAGAACAGAAGATTTTTAAAAATACTTTTCATTTTTTGTGCAGTAGCTTAGTAAATGTAGTGTATCTGTTCAGATCTTTGGATTACCACCAGTAGCCTTTGAACTGGGCTTTTCTGCACAGAACAAATAGAACTGTGTTCCTTGTAAAAATAATCCTGCTTTTCTGTATGCATATAAAGCTTCAAAATATTATACCAGAACTATGATAAAAACATAGTGTTGTAATGTTAAGAACTAGCATATCAAGGAAGTAGCAGAAAAATCATGTCAGAACACTTAAACAAAGGAAGAACATAGTAGCTGAGCCCTGTGTCTCAGCTGAGTTCCACAGCAGACAAGTGCACACAGTCAGGGCATGTCAGCTGCTTACAAATAGAGTGCAGGACTAGAAATCTATCATGCTGTGACTGACTGAAAGAATATTCCCCACAGCCTCAGCTTTGCAGAAACCTTAGATGCAACTTCTATGAGATGCAGGACTATCAAAATGAGAAAATATCATCGTAGTAAAATACAATTTGCCGTACCCGATATCCAGCTGAAAAGCTTCTAATAATTTGGATAAAACTGCCTCACTTCTTTTGATGCATAGTCAGGTCTGCCAATTTATAAATCAGCTCAGTTTACGGAAGCTCATGAATAGCACTGATTTGTTAAACTCTAGGCAGCAAGCTAAATATCGTCAAAACTAGCCTCCTTGTAAATAAGAACAGTGCTAACAGCTGAATACCATGGCATCTGTTTGGTAGCTTTAAATACTGAAGCAGCATCAATGGCAATAACCTGAAACTGAGAGCCTTCAATCTGAATAATGTAATTTTCCTGCTTCAATATCTCCTTTGACATTTTCATGGCTGAAAATGGATAGTGATACGCTATTTTAAAACCATGTTTTTATACATATATATTATAACAACAACAAAAAAAAAGAACTACATGGAAGAGAAGAGTAAGTTTATATTGGTGTTATCAGAAATATCCTGCCATTAATAACAGACATGGGATGAATGGGAAAATAGGTCTTTGGAGTATGGTTGTGCTGTATTTTCTTAGTGCTGTGTTGCATGGACTATATACTTGTGTTTTCACTTCACGCTCCATACAGCCTTTGTCACCACATCTACCATTTCTGAGCATCAGCAGATGTTGGCCTTTGAAAACTTAACAGGGAAACTCAAATACCTTTTAAGTAATGGTGACCTGAAAGGATGCAATGTTGACCTCTTTGTGTTTTAAACTGGGTTGATTAGTACTGTTTATCTATTAAAAATGGAGAAAAATGTCTTTAACATTCCATAGAAAATTGAAAAATTAGTGCAAGTTTATGCTTTATCTTAAATGTGCTATAAACATCTTGGAGTAATATGTGGTAGAATTCAACAATTTTTTTTTTTACTTACCTGGAAAGGCTGAAGCACGAACATCTCTTCACGAGCATAAGTAAATACTGATATTCTGCTTGCTTTTTTTCATGCTTTTCTTCTTAAATAGCTCAGGGGAAAAATAGCTCTACTTGCACAATCTTCTGAACATCTTTACTACAGGATAGAAACAGCAGAATTATCAGTTAAACAAGGATAGAACCCATAAATATATTCTTGTCTCTAAGAGAATTTAACAGAATTACAATTAATGCATAAAGCCAAAGAAGATTCAATAGTTGTGGCTGCTTTAATGGATACCGCACTACTACTTCTTTTGTCTATGCTATGCTTGTGTTCAAATCAGCAGAGTTTCTCCCTAACTAGGGACAGGAGTTTATTCTCAGGAGATACCATTTGGGTTTTATTTTGCCTGACAGCAAACATTACTACGGCGATATTGCATTTTGTGTTCTTCAGGCTTTTTCAAATACATAAGAAGGGGGCAGGAGGGACGGAACGAATGTAGACCAAACTGCCAGCAAACAAATCAGGTGCCGCTGCAATCAGCGTTCATTAAACATTCTGAAGACCCCAATGAAAGCATCCCCAAAGAAAACTACGATGTATTTTACTGTGTGCACATACACACATCATTCTCTATTCCTTTTATAATTCAATCATCTTAAAGCAGTTTATTGTTAGTTTGAGTACAAAAAATGAATGGTCATTAAGTAAACATCCTTTCTGATCATCTAGAAAATAAGTAAATAAACCCGAGCTTTCCTATTAAGGTCATTTGTACTTGCTGCTGTCTATCAGTTGAATAATAGGTGTCCAGTCACTTCCAGCATTCTAGATTCCAACGCTGTCCCTTTCAGCATTTTTCAGCCGTATCTGCAAAGATATTTGGTGAGAGCATTAGCAATTAATGAGTCCCAAAACCATTTCATAGTGGTAAAATTTATGATCAGCAATGCTTACATATAATACTTGAACATTCTGAGAACTGCATTACTTTACTTGCTAAAATAATCATTGTATAATTTTACATAGACCAATGCATCAAAATATTTGTTATTGTGACCACATACAAAAATTACTAGTTTGTACATGTATGCCTTCAGAAACCTGAATCTTCTAACCTATAGCTTCTATCTTTATTCCTGTGAAGCATAACACCACTAATTATGCTAAGCAGTTTGTTATAAAGGTATAATTAGAAACAGGATAAGATAGACATGATGTGCAAATAGCTCTTTGTGGGTGATTATCACCTTAAAGCCTGCTGGTGGCAGATGAGTCAGAGTTTAGAGACAGACCGTGCACCCAAGTGCAAGGTGGAATCAAGATGTTCAAATGGCATTCTCTGCTTTGTTCTCTATATTTTTATTCTTCTTTACAGCCAATTTCAAATTAAGAGAGCTTTTCTTGGAATGATAATGAATATAAAACAAAATAAAATAAACCTTGAACGGGCATTCTTGTTTTATTAGTTTCTTAACCTTGAAAGATCTGGTGGATATCTTTCTGCATTTAAAATAGTGTTAGGATGAGTGTAACTTTATTTGTTTTAAATATTTATTTTGATATTTTGAAGTGAGAAATAGAAATATTGTAAAACTGAGAGAGCAAATACTAGAAATCTTATTTTTTAAAAATCACACTGGAAGTATTTAGAACCTGATTTCATCCCCTTGCACCAATCAAGAACATCTCTCACTAAATTTGCACTGGGATCAAAGTTATTACAGTGCAAAGCTCCGGACTAGATTATGTACGTAACATCTACATATGTGCAGGATTTAAATATGCATATGTAGGTTGTAATTGTTTGTAATTAATTGAGAACAAGTTTTACAGAGAGAACTGAATAGTTGAGGGACCACGAACCTACAAAATCTTTTAGATAGTTTTCAGATTGTAACATTTTGGATATATTAGCAAAATATTCCCATTTCAATTCAGTTTTAATGAAATCTGACTTTTTACTAAATAACACTGTAAATCAGACCCCTAGTCTAAGGCAATCACCTTATCTGAATAAGCAGGTACAGGCAGACAGTATTTGTTTTCTCACTGTTACTCTAATAACTCTATGAGCCCAGAATTTTTCTTCAAGTCTAACAATTAGGCTTTCTATGATACTAAAACTTTACAGAGCTGAAAAAAAAAGATACCAGTATCCTTTGTGCTATAATGCTTTCATTTGCCAGCTATGAAAGTAAATTAAACATTCTAAGTCAAAGAAATTGTGAGTTTATTTACCTGGTAGGATTCATGAGAACACCACTGTTCTCCTATGTAACTTGGATTTCAGTTTTGAAGTTCACTAAGTGAGGTCCCTTCGCTGATTCCAGTTCTGAACAGAATCCCATTCTTTGTGGAGTGATTTCTAGTGTACTACTCAAGAAAGCACTGATAAACTGCTGGGCTGGAATTTGGGAGAGTTTTTGTTTTAGTTTGCTTGATTTGCCAGATCCACCAATTTTAACAGATAAGAAGAGCCATTCTCTCCAACTTAGTAGATGTGGCCAGTGGCAGTTCTGTGTTGTTTCTCATTCTTCATCCCAAAGTGTCTTCATCATCTAGGATTAATTACAATCAGTAGTTCATCACTCTTTTCAGAACTTTCTCTTTTTAATTTGCTGTAATATAGAGAAGGCTATTCAGTTCCCCATTAATTTTTATATAGCCGTTAACGAAGCATCGTATGATAGGAAGCTTCAGAGACACTATATAAAGCAACATTTTGATACGAGTTATGGTACCTGTGGAAAAAATGTTGCAGTCACAATGTGCAAATTTAGATGCAGCTACTTAGAAAAGTTTCTGGACAAAAAAATCTAGGAAGATATTTAAGAATACAACATCTGTAAAGCTTGAGGAGAAAAAGCACTTCTCTTCTTTTTTTTTATTTTTATTTTTTTTGTCCCCAGACATGAAATTTATTTACTTCTTGGAGTATAAAGAAGAATGAGTCTTGATCTACTGTTCTTCATCAGCTGTGAACAACAGTACAGTAGTCTCGGTCCAACTGTGAATTCCAGCACCACTGTAAGATAAAAGCAAAACAAATCAAAATAAAAAAATACTTCTGCAAATATTTTGCAAGTATTTTTGCAAATACTATAAATACTTACAATTGAAGAATAGTCCTTCCAACCTCACTAGTGTGAGAATAACAATCTTTTACCTTAGTTAAAAGCAGTGGATTTTTTTCTAAGATCAGCTCCAAAATTTCCAGAACTGGATCACTGGATTTTTAAAACCTCTGAAAAGATCACTTGCTTTTACTCTGAAACAACAACTGGACGCATAAAGAACTAATTGCATTTAAATTCTTCCAACAGTTGTAAAAGATGTTGTAGCTGAGGAGCTGCAAAAACAACCACATCTTCACATTAATGCAGAATTCTCCTTTCTTCAAAGGAACAGGTATGAAACTTCCTACATTGCTCCAAAAAGATTGCCTAAAATTGGCCGAGAAATTTTTTTAAGACTTAATAAATCAGTGCATGATTTAAAAAAACAAACAAACAAAACAAACAAACAAACAAAAAAAAAAAACCTTTCTTTTGACATTCCTTCCCATTTCAGGAGATCAATTTTCAGTATAAATAAACTGCCGTAAGACAAATTTTTCATGAGGTGTGTTATCACTGCTTCAAACAGACCTAAAAACAGTGTAATAATCATCACATGATGTTTGCAAGAAGAGACCATATATCATCTGGTACAAACATTCAATTACTTCAGCAGTTACAAAATCTCCATTGCCACTGATCTGATCAGAACATTATTTCTAATTATTCTCAATCCTTTTTTGTTTAATATTAAACCTAAAACCACTGTCATACATCTATCACCGTACCCAGCAGATGCCTATTTTTTGGATGAAACGCCATCTTATCTCTCAGCTACTCACTGTTTAAAATAGGCAGTGGCAAGGCCAGTTTTCAACACCTTCTACTGGAATCACTGAATTTGATTTTTTTTTAAATACTTTTATGTGTTTTAAGCCAAAGTTTTAAGAGACTAAGCTTAAACATAACTAGTCTCCCTCACTAAGATTCTATATAATGTGAATAAATAAATGACAGTAGGAAACACAAATTATCTTTGTCTAACATTAGAGTAAGCATTACTTAAGGCTTATTGATTTACCATGAGTGATTTTTAGCAAATACTCTGTTTGTGGACAAGTCAGTTTAAACATTTTAGGAGATGAAAGTATACAGAGTGCAGATGCCCAGGCAGCAATGTAGTCTTCATATGCTCCATCACCTGCCCTTGGTCAGCATTCCCAGTGAAGGATAGTCCCTCTCAGTGGAAGTACATGCCAATTTTACTGCCAGCTCAGTACACGGTAGAAGTGAGAAACAAACAAAGAGCTGATTAATTTCTGCCAACAAAATGACAAGTTTTTTCTTGAGCAGCTGCCTGGCTGAAATTAAGCTGAAATGACCTGTTTCATTTCTGTTACTTCCCTAATTCAAAGCCAGAATGTGGCATGAGGTGCAGATTGCACTTCTAGGGAATACTTGAAATACATTTTCTTTATTTAATATCTTTATATTCAAAACATTGAGGGGAAGCTAGAAGGGAATGGCCAGAGGAAATAATCATATATCTAGTAAATCTGCAATCATCAGCTTTTCCTTTCTCCACAAAAGATTTTTTTTTCAAGAGTTGGCTTTGAAATAACAGAAAGTAAAAATGCAAAAATTTCCAATGCAAATTTAAAACATCATGTCTTAATTTTCTGCTCGTTCATGTATCTGACATACCTTTACTATTTAAGGTGCCTAAAGTACCTTTACTTTCAAACAATGCACTAAAAATCTACTTTTAGAAGCCCTTTTTCACATTTCTGTAGCTTTGTTTACCTAGAACACCTACCATGGAACATTTAACAACAGAGTAGTATCCTAGATTTATCTAGTGTTTTTTCTAGAATACCTAGACCAACATTAATTATTCAGGAAAACAAGGACTACAGAATTGAGCATGCAAATAAAATGTTCTGGAATAGTAAAGTTTATTTGGTAAACTTGTCTTTTTAAAAAAAATAAGCTTTGTGGTGATCACTTAGGACTAGAAATGTTTTCACAAGTTGCAATAAAAGAATAAGTAGCTTCTAAATGAATGTTATTGTTTTCTGTTGTTTTCTGTTATTGTTTTCTGATGACTCATCTGCTCCAACATACTTGTGGGAATGACAGTCAATATTCTCTGACTTGGAAGTCTCACATATGCTTTTAGATAAAGCATTTAACATCACATTCAAGGAGGGAAGGAGGGAGCTAGAAAGATAAGTAAAAAGACCTTTATAAGGAAACATGTAATCTTGGTGATAATACATTCCATGAGTATGGACATAAGAAAAAAACCCTTCTCTTTAGCAAATATATATATAAAAATATATATGTTAATTATATATATATATGTTATATATAAAATATATATATAATAAATATATAAAAATATATATGTATGTATCTATACATATACATATATATGTATATGTATATAAATGTGAAAAAAAGAAGCATTAAGTCTCCTGGAGCGCTAACATTACCAAGCAGCCCAGAGCTACTAAAGACAGCAAATGATTTGAACTTGATACAACCCTGAACAACAACTTTTGAAGTTGACCTTGCTATGAGCACAGTTTAGAACAAATGACCTTGAGAAAGCCTTTCTAAGGTGGTTACAAATAGCACTAATAACTAGTAATAATAACCAACAATAACTCTTAATTGTTAATCCTTAGTCACAGTACATATGCTCATCTTTTTTTTGTATGCCCATTAAGAAACATAGCTCAGTATAGTCTAATTTAAAAGGTCAGGGAAGTTTTCATTATTTTAGCAAGTCACAGTCTCCATTTCAAGTCAGTTTGTGAAAAGAATTATGAATCTGTAGAATTTATAGGATTACTTAGAAACACTTAACACTGATTTTCTGACACAGAAGTAATGATTTTATTTGGACAAGACAAGAGATTCCTTGGGGAAATCATTATCAGAATAAGAGTTGATATGATTTTATGTATAGGACCTACAGTTTATTAAGTAGCAGGTATTTGAGAAGGTTAGTCCTTAAGGCATTACAAAGCTTTGATATTGTTACTTTTATTTCTGATACTATTTAAGCCATTTTAGAGAATGTAGTCAATTAAGATTGTTTTTCCTTTCTAGCTCCTGATTTTCATACATATTATCTGATGTCCAGTCCATTCAAAAATTTAAGCCAAGACTAAGCATTCCTGAAACTTAACCAAAACTTAACCAGTGAATTAAATGTCCAAATCATTTATTTGTATGTATTTCAAACTTCTTTACCATAACAAGTCCATGAATGTTTCAGGAGGTGGAATGTAGTCGTAGATGCATAGAATTATAGTCTAAAAGTGTGATAGGATTACCATGCCACCTCAGTATGGCTTTGAGATAGCTTTTGTAATGCACTGACTACAGTGTTTGCACTTCCTATGTGTGTGAATTGGTGGATCTGATTAGTAGAGGCAGGTTGTTTTCAATCAAGACTTAAGACTACCAAATCAGCTCAGTTTTCCTTATGTGCATTATCTTGACTAATAGGGAAAAAAAAAAAAAACCATAAAAAAGCAAGAATATGATGCAATGATATATTTGGATCAAATATTAACTGATTCAGTTTCAAAAGAATACCTAATAGTAAATAGCACAGCGGAAGCCTTTCCTTAAATTGTTCTCTTCAAAGGAAAGCTTTTGGGACGTGCATTCACACCCAGACATTTTCCATTCACCTTTGACAAATTGATCAGAAAGTGCAGTAGAAAAAAAATGACATCCTCCTACTAGATCAGGTGGTTGAAGCCCCAGCCTTTTTCTCTTCACCTCTATGTCTTCCAATATGATTGATCTATCAGTGAAACATACTATCTTCCAAAAGACCTGTTAGCCTAGATTCTTGATACCAAAGAGATGTGACAACTGCAATCTACATACCACACAACTGAACTTCTTGTATGCAGAAATAAATTTCCCTCTCCCTGTTTATATCACTGCTGTGTAGGCTGATGTGATCATTAGGGAAAATTCTATTCAGGCTCAGAGAAGAAACAACTGCAGAACATACAGAGGATAAAAATGCTGTCCAAATCTGATGTCCAAAGCTAGGCAGATGGGAGCTATCAATGACCAAAGAAAACAGAAACAAAACTAAACTAAACAAGAAACAGTATAAAAGACCATGTCTCACATCAGGGTCCAAAGAAGTTTTCTCCCCCTCCCCCTCCACCACCAGCTCACCTCTTTACTTGCTCTCAGCTCCAGCAGCCAGCACCATTAAGTGTAATCATTCCACCCTACCTCAACACAAAACACATTGACTAAAGGAAATGAAGCTCTAAAGAGACATATCTTACACCTTTGATGAGAGACAAAATGCCTCCATATGTAGGCCTTTAAAATACTTAGACATTTTGTATTTTCACAAAAACATAGTCTAGCTGTGATATGAAATAAATGCAACACACAAAAAAATGTGAGAGTGAAGAAAAGGTCCACACTACTGGAAAATATATGTCTTCTGTTAACAGAAATGTGTTTCACTCAAAAGGCCCTAAAACAGGATGCAATGGTAAGATATGTGTCTTTGGTAAGAAATCTATATTTGTCTGATATTGTGATTTTATCTCTACAGAGCAGATTAAAAGAACATGCTTTTATTTTGTTCTATGTGTTAGAACCAAATATGTTGGACTTGAATATCTTCTCACAATGAACAATGATATTTTGAATCATTGAAGTTAAATTGTTATGCACAGTATTTTATGTCCATTTGGTGTTTTGGGAGTCATCAATTGCTTGTTTTCTTGTTCAGTGTGAAATCATGTACTCTTCAAGTGCAACCTAGAATAGTTCAGTAATGGATGTTTGTAATCTATGTCTTTGTCCACATGCTTGCCTGTTTAGAACAATATCACAGATGCAAATAACAAAACCTGATTTTTCCTGACGCATGCAGATCCTCCAAAGTTTGATAGGATATGGCCGAATATTTCTTCTCTTGAGGTTTCTAAACCAAATCAAGGTAGGATGCTGTAAAATTCCTAGTGATGTAAAATTTCCCAAATTTCTTTCAAAGAGTCCCAACATGGCAGCAAAAATAGTAACAGTGGTAATGCAACTCAATTTTTTTTATTTTTTTATTTTTTTATTTTTTGTGCTAAGTAATGATATTCTGTGAGAAAATATCTATAGAGTTCAACCATAAAAAAAAAACTCACCTGAATTGGGCATCTTTCAACAGTAAGATCAAGCACATCACTACGTAAAGTCTGGAAATGTAGACACACAGGTTATAAGTACTGACACATGTTAAGTCGTACGGAAGTCCTTAGGTAATATGAAATGACTTGTATAAACAGCACAGTCAGTATTATGAATAAGTTTTCAGATTTTTTGACTGAGAAAGATTGCAATTCACTTCTTCAAACACACTTACTAATATTTTGTTTCCAGTTTCTCTTCCCAAGTGAGCTGGGAACTCTCAGCTTGTATGCCATTCAGCCTGCAAGCACGATCTCTGCAGAATAGACTGTTCTCAGCAATTCAAGTTCCACACAAAAAATTCCTAGGCTTTGGCATGATGATTATCACTGAAAGTGACAGAATGACTTTTTGAGATGAATAATAAAGTAAAAGCAATATTCTTTGTTATTTGAAGTTCTATTCAGCTGTGCTACACATTTCATAAAGATCATTCAGTGTAAAAATATAACGGTCCTTCTTTTTTCTCCTTATTTACTGCCCCGATAACCATTCACTCCCAAAGAAACCCTGCAGAAATTTGGTCAGCAGCTTGCTCTGACAATTCAGAGGATGTCTTTTCTGGCCTTTAGCATATATAGATGGAGAGAGTACAAAATTAAAAGGTGAGATAGAAATAGCTACTAAACTAGAGAAACAAACAAAAAAAAAAGGACTCTGTTGGGAAAGTATCTTAGAATGGCTGCAGCTCTATCCATTGATCACAGTGACCAGATGGGGATACGCACATACACGTATAAAACTTAATGTGCTACATGTGCAAGCTTCTACATTCTCTACACAAAAGATAGAAAATCACAGTTGGTCTGTGCTCTCTATAAGGATTAAGAATGTACTTTAGTTTGTATTATTCACATATATTTTGAGCTAAATATCCCTGACGATATGGCAGTATTCTAATAATTTAATTTAGCCCACGTTCTAAGTTTTTGCATGTGTTCTTCAAATAAACAAAAAAATATAGGTTGATGTCTACTCCTCTGCTGTGTCCAATGATTAGCCTACCTTATTCACAACGTATTTCATAGCTTAATCATTTATATTACTTGTAATCTAAGACCTAACTTCACTGCACAATACATCTCGAGCAGCACAAGATTACTCATTATTTCTTTCCCAGTAAATGAGAGCCAGCTGTAGTAGCATTATTTTTGATATTTTGTTATGGAACACAAAACACAAAAACTTAAAAGCATTTCTATTTAGATTATATGCTTGTGTTATATATTTACTGTAAATTAAATACTTGTTAATTATAGTGTATAATGAGAATGATTACAAAAATCTTATTATATCTAATATTATTTTATCGCATTTTCTTTCTTTATGCAAATAGGCCAGAGTATGTTTGCAAGTAAATTTCATAAAACCCTTTGTAGAGCACTCTGATTGCCTTATAGCCATTGGTCATGTACTAGTAGAAGTTAACCTATAACATCTAACACAAAATTGCCAGTGTGCTTACATGAATTAATTTCTCTTTATTTTGGATATTATAGCTCAAATGACTCAATAGTTGGTAGCCTATAATACACTTTCAGTAAGTTTCATGGTTTCCTTACAAAACAGTAGCCATTGTTAAAGTTAATTTAACATGGTAAAGAAACAAAATAGTTTATTTTAATCTTTTGATTTATTTCTTTTAATCTTTTGATTTATTTCTATATGATATCGTTTCTAATTTATTGTTCATTTTATCACCTATCCAGTTGCTCCCAAATTATCTATGACAACTGTTTCTTCTGTTCAAGTTGCAAACCACAAGAGAGGTAGGAATTCTTGGATTCATACAGTGATTTCATAGTGCTATGTGTTGTGAGAACATTGCACTGTATGAATCTGGAATATCTGTGAAGTGAACCCATCAGCTTTACTGGTGAGGCATCTTCATTGACAGCAGAAACATTAAGTCACATAAACGTAAGGCATACACAGAAAAAATAATTATGCTTTTTACACAGTCACTGCTGACATATAAGTGATGTGGCGCTTGTTTTTGAACTAATTAAATATTAGTAAATGACCATTCAGATTGTTACCTAGAAATGAAATGTTTGTTTGAGATTTCCTCACCCATCTGCATAAATTGTAAAAAAGGAAAGAAAAAGATTAGTTGAGGGGAAACAAAACATAAAAAAGTCAATTGTCCATATCATCAAGAAGTATCTGTACCCATGGAGTTGAATATGTAGTTATGTCTTCTAATGCATTGTAAGTGTGTCTTACATCTTCATTTTATTGTAACAATGTGCAAATTGAAAGTATAGGCATTACGTTTTGTACTGATGTTTCAGTGTTTTATCAAAATAATGGCATTATGTGGGCACAATGAAGGATGCCAGTACTATCTCAGTGGCATACAAGCAACCTATTTGATTTGCATATTTATCAATCTGCCTGAGCTCAGATATTTTCATTGGGTTTCCTCTTCAATTTATCTATAAAAAGTACATATAAAAATGTTTTGTCTTTCTGCAGCTATTTGTGAATCACAGAATCACAGAATCACAGAATCACAGGGTTGGAAGGGACCTCAAGGATCGTGAATCTCCAACCCTCCTGCCACAGGCAGGGCCACTAACCTCCACATTTAATACTAGACCAGGCTGCCCAGGGAATATCTCCTTATTCATGAAACACACATCTCTAAGGACTAGAGATACCAACAAACATTAGAACTTAGTCTGACCCATTTGATAAGATCATGATAACTATTTGTTTTGAAGCA